AAAAAAAGTTAAATATTTTATAAAATCACATCCATTGGACAAAATGAATCCACGAAAACAAAAAACTCTTGGCAACCTTTATTAAAACTTAACGCTCCTAAGCAATGAAAAATCTAACACGTTTTCAAGTCTATCCAGAAGCAGAGTTTGCAACATTTCAATCACAACATTCAGAAATTTTTGTGGAATAAGAACAAGGTATCAAAATGAACACCGGAAAACGCATTGTCTTTTACACATCAACTAATAAACACCGTGACGATGATTAACCATATATACCCGTCTCACTATTTAACACAAACTTTAGCAGACAACCGCGACAACGCATATCTCCAAGAGCTACCACTAATGAATCTTACAAATTTCGGAGCAACACACTTACTATGATTTTCACTTAGTTATGAATCTTGACTACACAAATATTGAGGCTTTCCTAGAAATGTCACTTTCAGAACTCGAAAAACTTCATCAGTCAAGTGAATTAGAACGAACACAAATTCTTCAAAAACTAGCTCTGGCAGTTTAAAAAAATCTGATGCAGGATATCTCCTTTCAGGAAATGGCTCAATTTTTTTTCAAACGTCCTTCAGTACTGCACGTGTACAAGAAAATATCACCTTTATTTGTCTTTGCAGAAAAACTATGCTACCAGAACATAGCCACAATATTGCCAGATCAAAATATAGCCACAATGTAGTACAATAAAACCTCGAAGAAGATAAATATGATTTTTACCACCATACACCACGTTAATGATATCACTGAAAAACTTTTCAACCGAAAGCATTAGCGCATTAGCTAAAAACCCGAATATTTAGAACCCTTCGGTAAATTCTCAAAATCAGACTTTCAACATAACATTCGAGCAGTTTTTAATTTTTCCTAGATTGAAAACTTTTGAAACAGTTTTTTCAAATACAGTTTTCCAAATTTACTATGACTGTCAAATATCAAACTATGTTTTTTGTATCACACCACGCAGAAAAAACAGCAATAACTTGAAAAAAAATGTGTTTTATAAGACTATGGTCGGACCATTCTGTACGACTCAGAAACCGGCTGAACGTTCTGTGCTGCGTTGGGTGAAAAAATCTAGCGCATTATTCGTTAACTCTAAAGTTTCTGTAAATCAGCTTCCATGTCACGATTTACTTCAAATTTGAGGAAGAGCTGCCGAATGAACAACTTTGGCAAAATTGCTTACGGAATGAACAACTTTGACAAAAGAAGGTTTTCTCTTTTCATAGTGTTTGGGGACAGCTCGGGAACAAAAAAAAAACATATTTTTTGAAAATCAACCGCTTCATGTATTTTTTAAATTACAGCTACAGAACGGAGAAGTTATAAACATTTTTAAACTAATTGTTTTTCAAATGTTTATAGTTTTTGATTTTGACAAGCAAAATCACATCCCTATCCAAACTAAAAGTTTCAGTTTTTCTCCTCAGAAACTGGAAAATAGGGAAAATAGCAACAGCAGTTGCAGTATCCCCCAAATGCCCAGTCACCAGTGACAATACACTTATGAGACAGTACATAGTCGTTCTGATCATTGCGACACAGCATTTCGCAGTCTTCACTTTTGGAGGTCACGTTTTGAATCATCCACCAATGCAGATTTACGACTGGTAGCTTGGCAAACTCTTCTACGGGAACCACCAAATTCCAGGTTTTGGATATTTCCCAGATATTTCTGGAAGTGGCAGTCCTCAAAAATAATGCGATGCAAAATAATTGAAAAATTCTTGAACTATATTTCATATCTGAGGCAAAGTAGCAATTGAGTCTATCTATGATGATGATGAAGATGATGATCTTTAACTAAATTGAACAAATACTCAGTGAAATTTATTTTAGCAGTATGCCCCTAATTGTTTGTTCGCAAAATGTCAGTAATCAATTGAAATTCATTTATCAACTATGTTTTGAAAAGAAAAGAAAAAATGTTAGAAAAAGAAATCGATTTGAAAAAAATTAAACCGACCTTAATCTTGAAAATTTTTTCGTGCAGAATCTGCTCTCTCTATTTATATCAAGTAATGAAACTGAAAATCGACGCAATGTAAAATTTCTTTTCCACTCTGTCAATTTTTTTCTCGAAATAGAACAAACTTTTTTAAATTCCCTTTCTAAGATATGAGTAGCAATTACAAGAGGTTGACGTATTTCAACCCGCTCATTCTTTACGATTACAATAATTTGGGTAAAAAATAAACCCCAGGTTAAATAATCAACACCAGACTATGGTTTTCCAACAAAAAAAAACACAATAATTTTATTCTAACTTGGTTACTATCTAGTTTTTATTTCCTCGCTTTAACTATTATAACGAAGTTTAATCTTTACTGGCTTTTGAAGTATCTGTGTTCTTAAGTTGCAAAATTGATTTTCGCATCGAATTCAGTAATGGAAGGATTGCATTGGAGTTCGATTCCCTCCCTTCCACTTCCCGCGCGTTTCCCAGAAGTACCTTTCTTTTTCAAACGGCTCACTCGTCCACATATTATTTCCGTAATTTGTGTGCAATCTGGGATTTGGCTTGTATCGATTCTTCTCCTGGTCCGATTTCCACTCGCCGTAAGGATGCATCCCCCCACACCAGCCAGAGTGGGGGTCAAATCGATCGTCAACAGCGTTGAGGCGTTTCTCGGCTTCGACTATATCCAACGTTTCCGGATTTACGAATCCGCCTTTAAATGGGTTGTAACTCTTCGTGTGTTTCGACTCGGCTACCATTCGGCTTAGCCAGTTAGGACTAAGCAGTGGCTTTTTAGGTTGTCGGTTACTCGTAAGACGTCGGATTTTGTTGAGTCGGCTCGTGTACGAACCTCTTGGACGACCTTTCATTGACGTTCGTTCGAAATGCGGATGAGCAGCATGTTCTGAGCACTTAGTCTTAGCGCATATTTTTATCTTGTTTCTGGCTATTAGTTTTGCCAGTTTATCTTTACTGATACCTGTTCTTTCAGCAGCAGCCACTATATCGGTAGCCGAAATATCCTTTGAGACAATTCCACGAGCGCTGAGCAGTCGTAATGTCGCACCTTTGTTGTTCCATGTTACATTCGTAACTCCATAGTTAGCCGCACTTCGTTTCGTCGCAGCGACCTGTCGGCCCTTTGAACGAGATATTTGCTGCATGAATTTCTTCAGGGGCTCAAATTGAGTTCGGGTAATCGGCGCATCGCACGCTAGGCTAAGTGCATGACAAACCAAACAGTAATAGTCCGGCATGTTTGGATCGTTATATTCAATCCAGTCTTTTCCAGCGGTGGGTCTGGCGTGAAAGGTACAAATATGAATTTTCTTACCTTTCGTGTTGACTAATGAATGAGGCAAGTAACCGTAATGGAAAGCCACGCAAACTGAACAAATGTTACCTTTACACTGTTTGCAAATAACGCATGAAGACGGCGATTTGCTCACTTCGCTGCCGCAAACAACGCACAGAGCATAAACGTCTGAAAAAGTGTAATCGTTCACGGGTTTCGGCACCCTGTCGCCGTGAACTTTGCACGCTTTCACGATGTCAACTCTTGTTTTACCTGCACAATGCTTACTGCATGTACACGTTTCCATTCTAGTATCGGGCATACAACATTTTTTGGCGTTATTATAGCACTCACCACGTTTTGGTAAAATCCGACCGAATCTCGGAATTTTTGGAATCGTGTCTTTGTTGCATTGAAGTTGCATGCGACACTTATGCAGAATTGAGTGACATTTTTGACAATGTCGTTTCTGGACTAACGGACCCTTAGACATGTCTTCAGGCGGATGAATTTTGCAGAATATAATAGCGTTTCCGTACACATCGTGGATGAAATGTTTTGGCAAGTTAAAGTGATGATTCGTTGCGCAGTTAGAGCACAAGTTGCCGTTACATTCAGCACAAAAGACGGCGGTAAAAGTTGATCTTACTGGAACGTCGGCGCCACAAACTACACAAATCTTCGAGCAATCACTTAACGACAGGATCCGAGTGTTTGATGGAACGAACGCGGGATTCGGACACATACAAGGACCAGGGCAAACACATTCGTAACGCCTCGGAGCCAAATGCATTTCGGGGTGATTCTCGCGCTTATCTACTGGGAGTCGGGAACTTAAAGCGTCGACTAGAATGGTTCTCGCAAGAACTGGGACACTCGGTAGTCCAGCATCCTCCATTTTAAACTCAAATGGTAACTCTCCGAGATGGTATTTACATGGACAACTTATGGTATAGTCATCTGTTTTGTAAGTCTCCATAGGCGGTTCTTCTTCGGCGTCGCTGTAGTAGTAATAATAGTCATCAGACTTATGAGATCCTCGGCGACTGTCACGGCGTCGGCTATCACGGCCTCTGCTTCCCCGTCCTCTACTATCACGTCTCCGACTGTCCCGACTTCCTCTGTCCGATCTTCGTCTGTCATCCGACCTGCGTCTGTCGTCATATTCATCATAAGTTCTTCTATCGTCTGATCTTCTTCTGCCGCCGTAGTCATCATCGTAAGGTCCCCTGCCAGCTGATCTTCGATGGTCTTCGGACCTGTATCTTTCGTCGGATCGACGCCCCCGAGCACTGGAAGCTCTTCTCTCATCGAAACGGTCTCTGTCTAAAATGTTTATAAAATCAATCCGCAATTATCATTTGTTATGTTTACTTCTATAACGTGTAGGAACTTAGGGGCTAAAAATCTTTTATTTGATTTACATTTAAAACGGTTCACTTTCTAACTTAAAATATCAGACTTTTAGACTTTGAAGGGATTTTGAAACTTCAGTAAGCTCTTTCTGAGACTGAGTTTTCCCGAAGACACTAACCGTCTCTTGGGTCTCCTCTTGACCTTGATCTTGACCTTGACATTCCTCCTTGGCTGTCTAGACTATACCTCGGATCCCTCGAATCTCTCCTATCTCCGTCCCTGTTTTCTCTGGAACCACTTCTGTCAAATTTGTCTCGGAAAGAACCTCCGTCACTCCTCTCTCTTTGCTCGTTATCCGGATACGACCTAACTTTACTCGAATGCGACGTCTTCTCTCGAGAATTTTCATGTGGGCTTCTGCTGTGCACGTAAGACTTACTTCCCGTGGTCCGAGGCGCCGATGAATCAGTCGGGTCGTCTTTGCTTCGATCACCCCGAAAGCGGGACGCCGACCGGGAGGCAGAATCTCCTGATTTTTTATCCAAACTTATTTCACCTTCGACAGTTGTCGATAAATTTTTCCTTTCACCGTCACTTTCAATAACCGCTTCGAGAAGTCGGGAGTCTTTCTTGCTTTTATCTTTGCCATCATCTTTCCTTTCACTTTTATTTTTACTCTGATCATTGGATTTATCTTTTTTACTTTTCGTGCCTTGCGGCATGGAGCCTCGTCTCGGACTCATACTGTTACCCGAACTCCTGTTTTCATCCTCGTTGTCCCCGCTGAGAAGCGAATCCTCAGCGGAGCCGAAAACCCGCTCTCGTTCGGCGTCGCTTGCAACTTTAGTCACCGACATATCACCTGTTCGTTTAACATTGTCGGATGTGTTGCTGCTTCTTGCTTTCTTCTTTGATAGCTCTCGGAAGGAACCATCAGACTCGGCATCTTCGCTTCCCGCCGCCGAGCTCCCCTCACTTTTTGAAGCCTCGCTCTTTGAAGCCTCGGATTTTGAACCTATTGGAAAAACTTTAATTTATCAAAACGGAAATGCATAATCAGTCAAACAACCTATAAAAGTTACCTACCACCCCCTACATGCGCCCGCTACCTGAACAGAAAAGTATTCGTGTCAAATGAGTATGTAATTAATGAACAGAACCTTTCTTGCCCTTTTTCGTTTTCTTTTTTGGACTTTGAGAATCAGATGTCGACATTGCCGATGCTCCCTCGTAGCTTGAGTTTCCCGAACGCCGAGAACCCGACTCCTCTGAATCGCTTTTGCTGCGCTTGTCGTCGGATTTTCGCTCGTTTTTCGACGCGTTCCTGGTTAATAGCGAGGCTTCCTCCGCAACTGTTTTTGACCCCATTTTGTTCTTTTTCGCCAATTTTGACAACCTTTTTCGCTCTTTTTCTTGCTTTTTTGTTTCTCTTTGAGACTGTTTTTTCTCCTCTTTTTCTTTCTTCTTCTTATCTTTCTCGTCTTTGCTCTGTTTGCCGCCCATATAAACGTAAAAATCTCTTAAATATTCAGGCGGTACTTGCGAATTATAAAACTGCTCGAATTCTAAGAAGTTGTTGAATCGTAGCGCTTCAAGGTAGAGATCTTCGATGCTGTCCTTCGCCTCCAGAATCATATTTTTGTAAGATGTGAAGTCGAAGTTTCCGTTGTCGTCACAAAACATGGTGGCAATCATCCTTCGGGCTTCACCATCTTCATCTCCTGAAATGATCAAAAGTATAACAGTAGCCAGGGGCGGATTTAGGGGCGGGCGCGGGGGTGGAC